AGGTGCCTCCCTTCCCGTTTACCCCTGCTATCTTTGCTTATCCAAACCCCATGGCCTTAGAAATGGGATGGCATTACAGGGGCTGTAATATCATCTTTCTGCTGATGACTCTAACCCCAAAGATGGAGGAAGAAATTAAAGCTTTGCTTGAATTAACCTTGCCCTGCAGCTAACGTGGCAGTAGCACAGCGTGACCCAGCAAAGCTGCAAGCTGCAGAGTGGTCAAAGACACGAGGGACAGTGCCTGGGGACAACAGACCTCAGCTCCTCAGCTGGTTTAGCTCGTTTCTCTGCCTCTCTCTTTACGGGACTTGAACTGCTGAGGCAGAGGGCAGGAGAAACCGTTCAGTTTTTTCTTTAATTGAACTCAGGTTATCTAAGCAGGTGTATCAATACTGCTTGAAACTTGCCCTGCCTTCCCCTCGAGGTCCTGCACTCCGTCCTGCGTCACTGCTCTGCATCTTCACAGGGTTCGTGCTATTTTCACTCGCTTCCTCCTGAGACTCTGCAATCTGATAATCTCCTAATCTCCAGCTCCTTGCAGTTCGTCTGCAGTTGTCTCTGCTTTATACCTGGCTTATGTCTCAAGAGTCGTCTTCAAAAATAGTTTCTGACCTTGTTGTCTAACGCATGTTAAGAAATAGCTATTTGGGGCCTTCTCATTCCCCAAATTCCTGTAATTGCCTGTGTTGGGGAGAGATGTCCCTATTACAAGTCATTGTTGTTGCATCAGTTTCTTGTACAGCATCCTCCTGATTTACACCCATTTTCAAGATCAGATTTTGAGCTCTTTCCTACCCCAGGTACACTCTGCTTTCCTTTGTGGGCTATTAAAGCCCTAAAATAGGAGCTGCCCGATCTGAGCTCAGACCGTCTGATGAGCACTGCAGAAATATCTGTAGTGTCTGTGAGAGGGGACACGTGCTTTCTCCTGGTTGCAGAGAAGACGGAATCTTGAAAGGAACCTGACAAGGAGCTTTAACCCTGTTGGCCATGAACTCCTCCTTTTGATAAATTGTGCCTGGTGGGGTGATTGCAAAGGAAACCTGAAAATATAGGATCGACTTTAAGCTTTCTCTGACGAGGATCAAACACCTAATCTCATCCATAGGATAATTGAAATAACAGGGAGAGGGCAGGAGGAGAAAGTGCCTTCATTAGCTTTCTTCTTGTATTATCTAGTGTTTTATTACCCCTCACCTTTTGTGCTCCTTTGTAACACCAGCTTGCTAAAATACGTGGCTGGAAATACACACCAGGGTTCACAGTGTACCATTGTTCACAAGAGAATAGGCAGTGCCCGCTGTCATTGTCTAGGCTGTTTTGCTGGTTTCTTTTGAAATCCTGGTTGTTTTCGGGAGGAGAGGAAGGTTTCCTGGATGAGAACCAGCTCTTCTCTGGATTGGGCAGCAGAGGTACCACTTCAGAACTGTAAACAGGGAATGAGCATCCGCAGTTTCTTATAACAAAGCTAGGGACCTCTTAACAAATGCCTTGCTGCAGGTTGCTGTTTTGTTTTGTTTTTTTAATCATTTTTCATACAAAAGGAATATGAGAATTCGTGAAGGAATCCATTGTGTCTGGCTCAGGAAGTCCACCACCTCTGCTTCTTCCTGAGACCATCACCGTGTTGCTAGTTGTGCTTCCAAACTCTTCAAAACCATGGTAGATCTTAAGATAGAAAATGTCTGGAGTAGTGGGGAGTTGCAGATCTTTGGGCACGATACGGAGA